GGTGCTCAGAGTTGGTCACTGAGAAGGTATGTAACGGTGCTCAGAGTTGGTCACTGAGAAGGTTTGTAATGGTGCACAGAGTTGGTCACTAAGAAGGTATGTAACGGTGCTCAGAGTTGGTCACTGAGAAGGTATGTAACGGTGCTCAGAGTTGGTCACTGAGAAGGTATGTAACGGTGCTCAGAGTTGGTCACTGAGAAGGTTTGTAATGGTGCTCAGAGTTTTGTTTATAATCATTTTTGCAAATGAAGAAAAATTAATCACACATGTTTCTATACAATTTGTTTTTAATGCATTAATAAAGGTGAAAGAAATTAAGTTCAACTTGATAAAATAGGTTCTTTGAATGTCTATATGCATTCTATTACCTGACCAAAGAGCAATTGACCTATGGACCTGCTGATCTATGCAAAACCAGATGATTGATTCAAGGCCCCTGTATTCTTATTTTTAGTTCTAAACATGGATAGTCAATTACTGTTTTAATAAATTTGCTTCACTTCTGTTTAAAAATGTCTTTATATAATCTTTTGCTTTGCAGGGAGTTGTGATTAACTCAATAGCTGTGAACCACAGTAGAGACTACCTGGTGTGTGGTACAGACAACAACCTTGTGTGTATCTGGAAACGAAGCTCTGTGAATGTGTGAATCTGGAAACGAAACTCTGAATGTGTGAATCTGGAAACGAAGCTCTGTGAATCTGGAAACGAAGCTCTGTGAATGTGTGAATCTGGAAACGCATATCTGTGAATGTGTGAATCTGGAAACAAAGCTCTGTGACATTGTGTGAATCAGGAAACAAAGCTCTGTGCCATTGTGTGTAACTGAATACTTGTCCTTGTATGTGTCTAATACAGCTCTGATAGGCTGTGATTATGGCCAGTTTTGTGTATCTGTAAATACAGCTCAGCAACAGTGTGAATACATGTATTTTGATATACATCTACATGTACCTACATGCATAGTTGTACCATTTGATGTGATATAGCTACAGATAAAAATGTAGTCTTACAAATAAATCACTGATGTCACATGGCAACCCTGAAAACTAACTGCCTGGTCCCAAAAGCAAATCATGGCATCAGCAAAACTTGTCCCAGTCCCGTTTACCAAATGGCATCAGGGAAATTATATGTTTTGATAATTCCTGGGTCCCACAGTAATAAAGTACCATGTACAGATATAGTTCAGGTATTTTTTGTTAAGCAAATCTACAAAGAACTAATATATAAAGATTATAAAAATAACTCCCAATATTACTGAATGATCTTTATTTTAGTTTTCCTGTATATATCAGCAAATAAAGCTGATACATTATTGGATGTAGCTGCATCTTCAATTGAACAAAGAAAAAAAAGTTGAGACAGTTATGAAAATTGTTAGTTTGTGTTGAATCTATATCCAGTGCCGGCCAAAATGTTACGTATTTTCTTGTAAATATTATTTTTATAAATAGTAATATGAAAACATTTGGTGCCAAACAAAGTCACTGGATTGCTTCCCTTTGTAAAGAGAGTGTGTGAGTAACCTCCCTTGGTACAGTATTATCTCCCTTTGTAAATTTTATATTGAACGATTGTGCAGAACAAAGGAAAGCAGTTGTAGAAAGTGTTGTTAAGTTTGACAATATAATGTTTTCCTTTAAAATGACAAATATGGTTTATATATAGAACAATTACGTTATTAATAATCTGAATATTTACAGTGTTCAAATATTATCAAAACAATCTTAGTATCTGTATGTCGGTAATTGTTACATATGTTTTCAGGCTACAGGTGCTTGACACTCTGATATGTTGTGTATACTATATAACAGTATATAGACTATATACATTTTATATTAGTTTTGTAAAGGATTACTTTGTTGTGCCACTTTCAGAAATGTTAATGATCCATTTTTATTTTCCTTATAAAACATATTTTATTTCAAATTTCTCTTAACATTTTCCCTATATTTTTTTTTAAACTGCACTTTTTGTCATCATGTTTTAACTTTTTAAACGATTTTAATTAAACTAGTTTGTGACCACAAAATACAGTATGCAAGGTATTAAAGCATTTAAAGTTCAGTTTTCAACATTCTTTTTTCAAATATTTATTCAGAACTGATTTATTTACTTTATATGAAGAGAAACATTGCATTTTTGTTGATGAGAAATTTACCATATGTTAGTTAAATTTTTGTTGCATTTCTTAAATCCTTTGTTTAATTATTTAATATCCACATTTTACTACCAATATTTGCTTGATTTTAAACGAATTTTAAAATTTCAAAAGTTTTAGTTTCCTTTTCAGAATCTAAGTATTTCTGTTACTCTACTAATGAAACCATAATAAATGTCTGAAAAGTGATATATCGTTTGTTGTTTTCTGTGTGCTATGATTGGCCTTTTGTCATATCAAGTCAACAACAAGTTTATATGTCACATGTAAATCAAGCACGGTAGAAATGACAAGATTTCGGCAGAGTGGATTGTGTGTACAGCATAGAGCTGTGGGAAGTGAACGCATATCAACTTATTTCTGTCCAAGCTAAAACATGGATGAATAATGACCAAACAAATAAGTATTTTCATACTGTATTTATTCATTATCAAACACTCAACTTGTAAAATAGGTAGAGCCAATATAACAAAATCAAGGGAGCAATGTCGTACCTTGTACATTCTTATTTGAGCCACAGCAATAAAATGCAGAAATTTGTCAATTTTTATGACGTAATGACAACCCTGATCTTGCTCTATCCCAATCTCTACCCAGAGTTGTCTTTCCTTACTCTCACTATTGAAACCCAAATGTAGAATCTGAATTTAAGGTCATTATTACACTAGTACACGAATTACTTAATTGGCCCTAACTAAACCCAAATGTAGAATCTGAATTTAAGGTCATTATTATCACTTGTACACGAATTACTTACTTGACCCTAACTAAACTAACCCAAATGTAGAATCTGAATTTAAGGTCATTATTATCACTTGTACACGAATTACTTAATTAACCCCTAACTAAACTAACCCAAATGTAGAATCTGAATTTAAGGTCATTATTATCACTTGTACCCCAAATTACTTAATTGACCCTAACTTAACTATGTCATTTGAAATTAAGTCGATAACTAAAGGCAAATTTTTTTGACAAAATGCAGGAAATCTTTGGCATTGTCTCTTCTGAGACAAAAGTGTCTCAACACATACACTAATAAACTACACAACACATTGATTGTTAAAGCTTTAGGTACATTTTATATAAGTTGTATAATGAATCTATATGACTTCCTGGCCATGATTATCTTCCTGCTCCAACCTCTTACATAGAGCTCTACAATTAACACACACATTCTGTTGAAACATACATTCTCCGACACAAAGATCCATTGCTCTACCACCGACCAGGAATACTGACAGAAATGCAATTTTCTTACAAACCTTCTACCATTCGTTCTACATATACTGTTACAAATGCAATCAATCCACACAGAATTTTGTTACTTGTGCAAACCTCTTACAAAAACTTCTCTAACTTAAATGACCAGATATCTTTTTTTTTAAATCATCTTGCAAACAGTTTAACTATAACAAATACAACCCTTACACAAAGTTAAACTAATTCAAAGGTGATTCTCTCACACACGGCTAATGATACAAATACTCTTTAACAAGCATAACTTTCATTTACTCTGGATACAATGACAACTCATTGATCACCTTCGTTGAAATAGTTGGATTTCATGTAATATATATATGACTTGCTACTTTAATGCATGCAATCACTATGGCGTTTAAGAATGGTCATCACTTGTGCTCAATTCTTTATAAAAAATATGTTTACATGTAAAGCTAGCAACGTAATCTACAACATAATACTGATTCATTAAAGCTAAGCTGAAACTCACCACTTTCGTTTCTATATTATTAAGATTCTCCTTAGAGGGCAGCACCAATTTGATCTTGAAAACAGGATCTGAGCATGAGTATGGTTTAATGAGTATGGAGCCGGCGGTAAATTTTACGATTATTCTTGCATATATAGGCCTATCTGGTACGCCTTCTAATCAACGTAATAATGTTGTCTCGATCTCTTGTATATGACTTGTAATAAGCCCACCACAAAAACTTATCACAACACACTGATATATATAAAGTTACCATACAAATAATTCCGCCAGCAAACAACTACGAAATTGACGTCATCATAATGTACCATTAAGCATATTACCTAACGTCGAATTAGTGAACACCGAGGAACTGTTGGACAAGAACGAACCATTGAACATTGGTATACTGGTGCCAAGTGAGGAACCGTTCACGAAGGTGGAGTTTACGGTGGTGGTAACATTAAGGTTTAAGTTCTGTAACGGATTTCCCTGGTATAGTATACCTGGAAGTAAAAGATGTCAACGTTAACCATTGCACAAGTCGTCAAATAAATACGCATCGATATACATTTAACGACCGTAGAACTGACACGTGTAAAGTGTAGAAAATATATAAAACAAGCATACTGAGTATTGCATGTCCCCTACCGTCCCCCGCTAGCTATTACTAAAGCAATGTATGTCCCCTACCGTCCCCCGCTAGCTATTACACTGTAATGCTTTATAAAAATGTTGCCCTTTGGTGTTAATTTGAGCAAATGAAAAGTATACAATTAGCTTGTAACTGATTTTAATGTAATAACAAGAGGACCAGAGGGCCTGTATCGCACACCTGGATACCTAAGCAATCATGGCAAAATATTCTCCAAATGAGATCCAAGGGAATATGTCAGACCCAAAGGCCAATCCTGGTAGCATATCTGTATTTAATTTTTATGCCCAGCAATTTTATGTATGGTTATGGGGTGGGGATCTCAACCGTTTCAAAGTTATGCCCCAGGGGTTATGTCTGCAAGGGGGGGGCAGACCCTGGGGTCAATTCTAATATCACGACTGCATTCGTCTCTTTATGACCAACAATTGTATATATGGTTTTGGGGTGGGGATCTTAACCGTTTCAAAGTAATGACCCAGGGGTTAAGTCTACAAGGGTGGGGCCAGACCCTAGAGCCATCCTGGAAGCAAATGTGCATTCCTCTCTTTATATTCAGCAATTGTATATATGGTTATATGGTGGGGATCTCAACCATTTCCAAGTAATACATTTTTTTGGCCCCACCCCTTAGCCCGGGTGGTCAGCCCCACCATTTGTACAATTTTGAATCCCTGCCTCCCATGAATGCTTCCGACCAAATATGATCAATATCCATGGTAAAGTTCTACGTAAGAAGTCGTTTGTAGCAATATAGTCAAATTGCCCCCTTTTGGCCCAGCCCTCAGACCCCTGGGGGATCAGCCCCACCATTTGTACAATTTTGAATCCCCACCACCTAGGGATGCTTCCGGTAAAATATGGTTGATATCTTTCTCTTAGTTCCAGAGGAGTCGCTTAAAGAAATATAGCTAAATAACGCTTTTTGGCCCCGCCTCTCAGCCGCCACGGGGGTCAGCCACACCATTTGTATAATTTTGGATCCCTGCCTCCCATGAATGCTTCTGATTAAATATGATTGATATCCAATGCATAGTTCTACAGAAGAAGTCGTTTGTAGCAATATAGTCAAAATGCCCCCTTTTGGCCCCGCCCCTCAGCCCCCTTTGGGGTCAGCCCAACCATTTTTACAATTTTGAATCCCCACCACCTAGGGATGCCTCCAGTCAAGTATGGTTGATATCCTTCTCTTAGTTCCAGAGGAGATGTCACTTAAAGCAATATAGCCAAATTGCCCCCTTTTTGCCCCGCCCCTCAGCCCCCTGGGGGTCAGCCCCACCATTTGTACAATTTTGAATTCCCACCACCTAGGGATACTTCCAGTCAAATCTAGTTAAATTCCAATCAGTGGTTAAGAAGAAGAAGTCGTTTAAAGAAATTGTTGACGGACAGACGACGGACGGACGGACGGACGACGGACGCCACGGTATGGCATAAGTTCACCTTGGTCCTTCGGACCCGGTGAAATTGTAATGTTAGTATTATGACAGAGGAATTATATAAAAAAAAACATGATTGTTATATTTTGTTGCTTTTGTGATATTAAATCAATTACCAGCAATTGTGATTAAGAGACGTGAATATCATCACCAATGTGTAATAATGTGTTACTTATCCAGTTTAATTCAGTTAAACAGTTTAACAGCGTTACGGCCCTTTGAACTTGAAAGTTATATATTGTTTATAGGTATCCTACAGGATATCATGTTCCTTTGTAATTATGTAAAGTTTGATCAAAATCTCTCAAGGAATGAAGCCGTTAGAGCGCTGACAAGGATTTTCTAAAAATAGTAACGGTGACCTTGACATTGACCTGCCAACCCTGAAACTCAAACTTGTCCGATATAGTATGGTCCTTTGTAAATGTATGAAGTTTGATAAAAATCCCTCAAGGAATGAAGCCGCTAGAGCGCTGACAAGGATTTTCTAAAAATAGTAAAAGAGACCTTGACCTTGACCAACAACCCTGAAATTCGACCTTGTCCGAGATATTATGGTCCTTTGTATTTGTGTAAAGTTTGATTAAAATCCCTTAAGGAATGAAGCCGCTAGAGCGCTGACTAACATCGAAGGAAAACTATTGTCACCGGTAGGGGACTAATAATTGGAATCAACATATCTTGGTTAAAGTATCTCACCTGCAACGCACGCGGTCATGAAACACGCGACATTCCCGCCAATCATTGCCCTGAGCATGCCTTTTGCGTAGTCTTTTTGTCTGCTGGGGTCCGCAGCGGTAAACGCACCGAGATTGATCCCCATGGCTGCTATACTGCCGAACCCGCACAGGATGTAGGTAGCTATCACAACAGAACGTTCCTTTTTAAAGAGAGAAACAGAAATCAACATGTTATATGACAATCTATTACCGGATGTAAGCATTTGTATCGCATGAAGACCAGTTTCTTTGCCCTTACTTTTTGTATGCTGTGCACAAACTGCACACATCGCAAGTGTTTTTGACGTCATCATTGAATGTTGAAGAAAAGGACAATTAAACATACATTTCACTCAAACATGTGGAAAGTAGCTTTTGATTGGAATAGAAAATGTGGTCTGGTTCGTCTGGCTATTTAACAGGCAGCGCCAAAAAGTATGGTGTCCTTGTACGTTTTTCTCTGAATTTCCTTCTTTATTCATAGTTATTGTAAATATATCTATGCAACACATTTTGTTGTCATTCAAAAACGTAGCAGATACAAACGCCAAAATGATTTTGTAAACATTTTCTCCAGATACACTTTTATCTTTTTGGACCGTATCGTTATCACAGTATCTAGACCATGTGAAGAGAGGATTAAACAGCTGTTACTATAGAGTGAAGTGATTGCTAACTGACTGTCCAGTTAAAATTATAGACTAAGAATTGTTGATAAGTTTGCTCTTCTATGTTAAATCGGCAAATATCACCTTACGGGCTCAGTTTACCGGGAAAGGGTCAACAGGAAGTAGTACACTTGAAAACACCACCGGAACTTGATATTGTACATAACTTACGTTGATTTCATCGTTCTTGATCATCGTCCCGAGATCGGCGAAGGACAGAAACTCGTTGATGAATATTTTCTTGCCTATGAGCTCCGCTACCTTGCCGCAGTCCTGCCATCTAACGCCCATCACCAAGGCTAAGGGCATGAATGTGTACGAACACAGGAACTGTAACAAAAATCGTTAATGTGAAAGTTTGGGCTCCTTTCTACTAAATTTTATTATGCCACCACACCAATGAATAACTACGGTATTTCTATTTTGATATTTTATTTCTATCAGACCATGATATTTTTTTTTTATATCAGACCAGTGCCGAAGTTTGTAGCCTTCCGTCCCAACACACAAATGACTAACTATGGTGATCCTAGTCTCTTGGTGGATCGAGACTCTAGTCACTTGGTGGATCGAGACTATAGTCACTTGGTGGATCGAGACCCTAGTCTCTTGGTGAATCGAGACTCTAGTCACTTGGTGGATCGAGACCCTAGTCTCTTGGTGGATCGAAACCCTAGTCTCTTGGTGGATCGAGACTCTAGTCTCTTGGTGGATCGAGACCCTAGTCTCTTGGTGGATCGAGACTCTAGTCTCTAGTCTCTTGGTGGATCGAGACTCTAGTCTCTTAAAGGATCGATACTCTAGTCTCTTGGTGGATCGAGACTCTAGTCACTTGGTGGATCGAGACTATAGTCACTTGGTGGATCGAGACCCTAGTCTCTTGGTGGATCGAGACTCTAGTCTCTTGGTGGATCGAGACTCTAGTCTCTAGTCTCTTGGTGGATCGAGACTCTAGTCTCTTAAAGGATCGAGACTCTAGTCTCTTGGTGGATCGAGACTCTAGTCACTTGGTGGATCGAGACTATAGTCACTTGGTGGATCGAGACCCTAGTCTCTTGGTGGATCGAGACTCTAGTCTCTTGGTGGATCGAGACTCTAGTCTCTTGGTGGATCGAGACTCTAGTCTCTTGGTGGATCGAGACTCTAGTCTCTTGGTGGATCGAGACTCTAGTCTCTTGGTGGATCGAGACTCTAGTCTCTTGGTGGATCGAGACTCTAGTCTCTTGGTGGATCGAGACTCTAGTCTCTTGGTGGATCGAGACTCTAGTCTCTTGGTGGATCGAGACTCTAGTCTCTTGGTGGATCGAGACTCTAGTCTCTTGGTGGATCGAGACTCTAGTCTCTTGGTGGATCGAGACTCTAGTCTCTTGGTGGATCGAGACTCTAGTCTCTTGGTGGATCGAGACTCTAGTCTCTTGGTGGATCGAGACTCTAGTCTCTTGGTGGATCGAGACTCTAGTCTCTTGGTGGATCGAGACTCTAGTCTCTTGGTGGATCGAGACTCTAGTCTCTTGGTGGATCGAGACTCTAGTCTCTTGGTGGATCGAGACTCTAGTCTCTTGGTGGATCGAGACTCTAGTCTCTTGGTGGATCGAGACTCTAGTCTCTTGGTGGATCGAGACTCTAGTCTCTTGGTGGATCGAGACTCTAGTCTCTTGGTGGATCGATACTCTAGTCTCTTGGTGGATCGAGACCCTAGTCTCTTGGTGGATCGAGACCCTAGTCTCTTGGTGGATCGATACTCTAGTCTCTTGGTGGATCGATACCCTATTCTCTTGGTGGATCGAGACTCTAGTCTCTTGGTGGATCGAGAAGTTGTTAAAAAGAAACATTTATTTTTCATTTTGAGCCTGATCCCTCTGTCCTGGTGAAATACATCCCTTATTTATACAACAATGACTTACCTTGACAAAAGGATGCAAATTTTCGTACGATCCCATACTTAGAAAATGGCCTTTAAATATTATTAATAATCCTTATTTCCTCCTTTGTGTCCTCCTTTTGTCCTAAGGTGGTTCATACCAATCATTTGTACAACGCAAGTTATCATTATCATAAAATCATCCATGCTCTTTTCGAAGATTAACTTGTACCCCCACCCCCATTTTGATCCCATCCGGTAGAATATCCCAGGGAGAGGGCCATACTTCCGGAAGGGGATCATTCATTCATTCATTCATACAATATTGGATTATCTTAGCTCATAAAAGCTCCATGTCAAGTAAGGTCCATCCTCCGTATTTAATAGTCTTTTAAAGATAACCACCGTTTCCTCTTTTAGTCCAAGCCCCTCTGAACCCCAAAGGGGACATCCGTTCACTAAATACAAAGTTGAAATACCTTGGTACCCGGACAATGAAAAATAAAATCAAACAGTATCCTTCACAACATTATTACCATGAACTTAAGGATGAGCTGAGCTGAAAATTTAAAACGATTTTGAGTTGGTCAAAAATCACTAAATTACACGCCTTTGTTTACTGCACTTAGTGTTGATTTTCGGTCTTGCTCTTTAAAAACGGCTTATTGCTTCTAAGTATTAGGTTTAAGTTATATTTGTAGTTCCAATAGCAGTTTTTTCATACTGTGGATAAATAAAGCACAATCTAATTAAAATTATATCTTCACATCGCTCCCGTTTACTGATATGTCGCGTTGAAGATCTAACAACATCCCATAGAGGGTCACGTCAGAGGTCAACATGAATACATTATCGCATTTATAACAAGCCAATCATAACGCGACATAACTCTTTCATTCAACCAATCAGAAAGCAGGACCTGTGGCATTTAATGCAGACACCTCGTAGCCCAAAATCCATTTTTTCGTCTGGTCCAGTGATAGTTTGAATATTGCGAAGCCTGTCATTGGTTAATTTAGTTTCAGGTTGTTAAACTTTTTAACGACAACATCATCAGAAGAGGAAGTCTCTCTTATTTCAAAGCAAAATCCACAAATTGTACAAACGTTGTCTTGTAGATAGACACGGCGTGGTGTCATGGGCGCCGCCATTTTCGATGCTCATTTGACACCTCTCGGTCTTTTAAAATAGCAAGTGTGTTCCGAAATCATTACATCATCACTTACAGAAATGCGTAAGCTCTCATCTGATTGGTTAATGCAAAGGTCGCCTGAACATGACCCTCTACGGGATGTTGTTAGATCTTCAACGCGACATATCAGTAAACGGGAGCGGTGTGAAGATATAATTTTAATTAGATTGAATAAAGCAGTAAGTCGAGTGTTTAGCTCTTTCCGTACCGCAACTCCGGTCCGGAGTCCGTACCGGATGTACTTATTAGACTCGCCCCCGCACATATAACAAAATGGCGGATTATTAATATATACATTTAAGACTAGGTGTAATTGCCGCAAGAATTAAACAGGTAACCGTGAACAAATATTGTTATTGTTTCATGTTCTTGTTCATAGACAAACACTTCTTCATTTTCGCAGCATAATGACTAACTGGCAGCTGATTATGACTGAGAAATCGACATTTGTCTGGCAATAAACGATACGATTCATTGTATTTAACACAGCGTTGTAGCATAGGTGTTGGGCACGTCTATCAAAAAAAAAATATATATATATATATATAAAACTCTTTTTTTTTTTTTTGATAGACGTGCCCACCACCTATGGTTGTAGTGCAGGTTTTCAATGGGGATTGATTATGGTTACGAATGTGGAGTCGTTGAGGTTTTTTTTAAATACAAGTAGATTTCATCAAGACTTATATTAGAATATTCAAATTTACATTTACTTCCATAAGTCTCAACAAACATCTGATGATGAATTTACGAGTGATCGTATCGAATTAAGTTGCCGCCATCTTGTTTACATTTGAGGCACCAAACGCAAACATCTTGAGGCAAATGCGAAAACATTAAGTCACATAATAAAAAAGTGTACTTTGCACAAATAAAATTATTTCTTCCAAACTGGTGGGTTCTGATTTTAGCGACAATTAATTGTTTTTTGGCGACAGTCTCGTGCGATAACCAACTAAACATCAGGCAAATTACATCACAGTTTCTTGTCGTGTGTACACGACAACGGGGATGAGACGGCCCTTTTTTGTCGTCTGTACACGACAACGGGGACCAGGATGTCATATTGTTGTCGTGTGTACACGACAACGGTACGGAAAGAGTTAGAGTCGTTATTTCTGACGTGTGCTCTGTAATTGACAAAGTATCTAACAGCAGTCAAAAGGACAACACACTAAAAATACAAACACAAACATCGTTTACGCCTGCGGGGTATTTTTTTCTAATGTTTACCTGGAACGTGACCTCTGGATGACCGACACGTGATCCCATGAAGGACAAGAAATAGTCTAGGAAGGCGAGGAGTGAGATGAAGGCGATGAGGTTAACAGTGACGTAGGAGATAAGTTTGATAGCCGTCAAAGCACCAGCCGAGGCTGCCTCCATTACGTTGTGTTCGTTCCTGTTGAAAAACATTCGGAAACATCTTATTGAGGAAATATCCGTTTTGTCTTATGAACGATCGTATTGATTATAAAACAGCAACTGTTAACGTGTTTAAATGTGTATGGTCAGATGGCATTGTGGATAACAATGGTCAGATGGCGTCGTGGATAACGCACTCGTCTTTCACCAAGACGGCCAGGGTTGGATTTCAAGATCCGACTGAAAAGGTTTTAGGACACCTACCCGACCACGAGTGAAATTTTGGTTTTATAAAACAAAAATCAAAAACGATGTAAAATAAATAAAGATTTCATATATTTTAGCAATGAGATTAACAATACAGAAATAAAGTCATGGTTTTTCTGGGCCATAACTTCTTATTTTTCCAGCTCATTAGCTTCACCAAGCGGTAAGTCATACAGGTTTGGGTTGTTAAGCATCACATATACTCATTGCATACTTCCTATACACTGTACTAGATCTATAACGACATTGTGATATTCTGACATGACCTTCGAGGCTTACCCGACATTAAGTTTTACGTAGATATCCTTCTCGTCTCCTTGCGGTACTTCCGTTTCCGGCCAGTTGAGTTTACTCACTGCTAATGCAGCCGGGGCTGACATGAATGACGCCGTAATCACGTGCTCGGCTGGAACCTGAATTTCGAAAAAAAGCAAATTGAATATATTTTAGAAAATTAGCTTCACTTGGTACACGTAAGAGTGGTTCAAACAAAATGAACATATGGATTGTAATTTTCTACGAATGGTGTGTTTGGTAATTTTAAATAAATATATTGCCAATAACTACATTCACTGTCAGATGCTTCTTGTGGTCAAACTATTACGTTATCGTTCTTTAAATCCATGCGGTGGACCCAATGTAAGTTCGATGCGATAATGTGACTAAATGTCACTTTAGGTGTATAATACGTACCCCGAACTCGATGTAGGCGGCGATGACTGTTCCCGCCACGGTAGCAAACCCTGACGTCATCACGGCGTTGAGCTCAGACAATGTGAGATCCCGGAGGAACGGCTTCAGGGCCACAGTAGATACTACCTGTTAATACAGATGCCAGTCTTAAAAAATGTGTATCTCGAAGAAACAGATACAAGGTCGCGATAGACGATACCTTTCAACAAATGTAAGCCCGAAGCTGAACTCGTGGTACGGCTTAAATGCAACAGTAGATGTCATCTTTCAATATACGCCGATCAGTGAACGGTAAAATCATGGAGGTCATAGGTCAGTCGGACGTTGATTCGTATGGGGCCTGGTTAACTAGGTGTATTATATGTGCGAATTTAACCCCATATGAATTCAACCAATCTGGCTTAGAATGGATCAAAAGTTTACTTGTCAGGTTTATCTGTCCGTTTGTATCACCTGTTGAAAAGAATCTTCAATTCTCACCTGTCCGATGAAGATATGGGCCGCCGTGGCGAAGGATTCGACGGCTGTGGTCTTCATGGTGTACTGGAACAGTTTGGCCAGTCCCTTAATGACGATCTGCATTACTCCCCAGTAGTACAAGATAGACACCACGGCACTGAAGTACACCACCACCGGCAGAATCTGTGGAGACAGAAAATAACGGACGTTTTTATACAACGGAGTGAAATGGTGAAAACAGAAAGTGAAGGGCGTTATTTGTACATAAGGATTGAATGGCATTACTTTGCGTTCATACCGGCATGAACATTGAAAAAGTGCTGTTCAATCCTTATATTTAAATTCTTAATTTGTAGTTATTATAGACATGGAAAAGATATTCTTCTATATTTTCGATATTGAAGTGTCTGTGACGTCAGTGCAAAAGAGATTCATGGACCAGTCTAACGTCACCAAAATGTTTGCTTCTAACGTTTGTCTCAGGCTAATCGAGGCGGGGAAAACACTTCATAATGACGCTGATCGAATTGCGTTCATAGCTCTATGAACGCAATTTCTCCTGGTAATGCTTCTATTTAAGGATTGACCTGCATTTTTTGACGGCGTATACGGTAGTATGAACGCAGTTGGCAACGAACATAATCTATGGTGTGCGTTAGCACTTCGAACATAATTATTCATTTATAACTGTCGTTATGTACATGAATTGACACACTGTTCTGGTAGTGATGTGGTCAAACGTCGCAAAAGGAAGCCGCCATTGTTTGCTTTACCGTCAGAATTTTGAATGTGCATCCATAGAACAAGAAATTAGCCAGCATCCCTTTGTTGTATAATCAGACATTATGGATCCAAAATATGTTCCATGTTTCTAGATGTTTATGAACCAAACAATGGCTGTCACCGAACAGTTAATGCGCTGCAGCGTGAACGGCGCCATATTTGAAACAGATATCAATCCGCCGAGCCTTTTTTTCATTGCGTATAAGCTAATGTATACGCAGTCGGAGTTTACTAAGCTGAAGAAGGGAGATATGTAAATATACCGTAGTGGAATGGAGGAGACAGAAAGTGACGGATGTGATTTATACAACAGGCGAGATCTGTAGACGTAAAAAGTGACGAGCGTTACTTTAACAACAGATACATATTTAGTCGTAATTTTTTTGAAACGCGTAAATATATGGAAGCGTATTTCACGCATACAATTCCGTAAAATCGCAGTTACACACAAATATGTTAGGCTTCCTACCTTGAACGCCACGACGTGCATAGTATAGTTTTTGTCTCCGAACACAAACTTGGAGCCGTAGTCGGTGAATGAGAGGAACTTCGCCACTGCGTCTCCCATCATTTTACACACCCTGTAGCCCGGGGGCCATCGTAAGATCACGATACCCATCAGGAACTGCAGCAGCAGGCCCCACAGTACCGCCCGCCACTGTACCTGTAAAATATATCATATGCCGATTCCTTTATTACAAGACATCGTCAAACGACTCCAAAACAATAAAGTATGCATATCTGTGAATAAACCGGTATGACATTCTTTTTATATCGGGAGTATTTTTGCCCTTAATACAGAAATAACACTTGCTTATTCTGGATGCAACTGCTCTGTAGCACAAAAATTATAATTTCAATTAACATATTCGAGATTCAGTATTATCAGTCACTTAGGAATTAACATTTTTTTGTGAATTGACCAAAAGATAGCTTCCCGGTATCTTAGGATTATATCGCCGCAAAGTCTTCGTTTTTGTCAAATCCATAATGCACACACTTTTAAAAGTGAGTCAGAATAATCGAATTTATTATGAAGGTCGTTTGAAAACATTAGGTAGATGTGACGTCACCTTTGACGGGGCCTTGGACGTGACGAACATGATGACTAAGAACAGAAGGAGGCCTCCGAGGGGGATCAGTCTCTCCGGCTCTTCATAAAGGTCCAATACCAAGTATACCCCTATGGCCACGAACAGGAGCGCTGTGAAAAGCCTGGAAATAGAAATACAAGTGTAGTTCGTGAAAGTTTACATGATTATCCTTTTTCTCGTGCTGTATATTTCTCAATGACCACATTTTTCACAGCTTTTCTATCTGACAAAGATCAGCCAATTCGTCCAAGACAAGATACACAAGGGTCAGCTAATTCGTCCAAGACAAGACACACAAGGGTCGGCCAATTCGTCCAAGAAAAGACACATAAGGGTCGGCCAATTCGTCCAAGACAAGACATACAAGGGTCAGCCAATTCGTCCAAGACAAGACACACAAGGGTCGACCAATTCGTCCAAGACATGACACACAAGGGTCGGCCAATTCGTCCAAAACAAGTCACACAAGGGTCGGCCAATTCGTCCAAGACAAGTCACACAAGGGTCAGCCAATTCGTCCAAGACAAGACACACATGGGTCGGCCAATTCGTCCAAGACAAGACACACAAGGGTCAGTTAATTCGTCAAAGACAAGACACACAGGGGTCGGCCAATTCGTCCAAAACCAGACACACAAGGGGCAGCCAATTCGTCCAGACACACAAGGTTCAGCCAATTCGTCAAAGACAAGACACACAAGGGTCGGCCAATTAGTCGAAGACAAGACACACAAGGGTCAGCCAATTCGTCAAAGACAAGACACACAAGGGTCGGCCAATTCGTCCAAGACAAGACACACAAGGGTCGGCCAATTCGTCCAAAACCAGACACACAAGGGTCAGCCAATTCGTCCAGACACACAAGGGTCAGCCAATTCGTCCAAGACAAGACACACACGGGTCAGCCATTTCGTCCAAGACAAAACACACAAATATCACCAAATTTGTCTTAGACATGACACACAAGGGTCAGCAAATTTGTCCAAGACAAGACACACACGGGTCGGCCAAATAGTCGAAGACAAGACACACAAGGGTCAGCCAATTCGTCCAAGACAAGACACATAAGGGTCAGCCAATTCGTCCAAGACAAGACACACACGGGTCGGCCAATTAGTCGAAGACAAGACACACAAGGGTCAGCCAATTCGTCCAAGACAAGACACACAAGGGTCGGCCAATTAGTCGAAGACAAGACACACAAGGGTCAGCCAATTCGTCCAAGACAAGACACATAAGGGTCAGCCAATTCGTCCAAGACAAGACACACAAGGGTCGGCCAATTAGTCGAAGACAAGACACACAAGGGTCAGCCAATTCGTCCAAGACAAGACACACAAGGGTCGGCCGATTCGTCAAAGACAAGAAACACAATGGTCAGCCAATTCGTCCAAGACAAGACACACAAGGGTCAGCCAATTCTTTCAAGACAAGACACACACGGGTCGGCCAATTGGTCCAAGACAAGAAACACAAGGGTCAGCCAATTCGTCCAAGACAAGACACACAAGGGTCAGCCAATTCGTCCAAGACAAGACACACAATGGTCGGCCACTTCGTCAAAGACAAGACACACAAGGGTCAGCCAATTCGTCCAAGACAAGACACACAACGGTCAACAAATTCGTCCAAGACAAGACACACAAGGGTCAGCTAATTCGTCCAAGACAAGTCAAAAAACGGTCTGACATCAAATTCGTCCAAGACAAGTCACACAACGGTAAGCAAATTCTTCCAAGTCAAGACACAAGGGTCACTAAATAGGGAAGCGTTTGAAAAGAGCGTTGCATGCGCATGATATCTTTGGTCCTTTAATACATGAAACAATTGAAATGTGTCATTTCATTTTTTTTTAATTCCAAAACAATAACATCGTGAATAGTGGACAGAGGGTCAGCAAAGCTAATATGGGGAAAATGCATTGGATGTAGCAGTAAATCGAATGTTATAAAAACAAGACTCAACAAGCATTGGAATTTGGAAAACAGCAGGAAAATGAAAATAATTACGTTATTTTGATGAGCCAGTCATTTTAAGGTTTTGTTTGGTAAAGTCAGGAGATGGACCGATCGAGACTCTTGTTTTTTTCTGTTTTCACGTGTGACTGTTCTGTTCCGCCAAAATGACGACAATGAAACGTTAAAAATATTAGCAATATTCTGAAATGTGACAGACTGGACAATGTTTGAAGTCATAACGAAAGCGTCAGAAGTCTGGAATATTGACTAATTCTAGTTACTTTAGAAAGGTAGTGATACGTTGTTAAACACTATTGTGTAGTTCTCCCGTTAACGTATGTTACAGATACGTCAGCTTGTCCTGTCGGGGAGATGGAGTTATAAATACACGTCATCTTGTCCTGTCGGGGAAAACGAGCTATTAATACACGTCATCTTGTCCTGTCGGGGAGATGGAGTTATAAATACACGTCACCTTGTCCTGTCGGGGAGATGGAGTTATAAATACACGTCACCTTGTCCTGTCGGGGAGATGGAGTTATAAATACACGTCATCTTGTCCTGTCGGGGAGATGGAGTTATAAATACACGTCAGCTTGTCCTGTCGGGGAGATGGAGTTATAAATACACACCATCTTGTCCTGTCGGGGAGATGGAGTTATGAATACACGTCATCTTGTCCTGTCGGGGAGGAGTTATAAATAAGTCGTCTTGTTCTGTCGGTAAAAATGACACCCAAATGCTCGTATATATGATCATTGGGGATGTCATTTTTACCAGAAGTCGATTTAAACCCCTAAACATGTAAAATTACTCTGAACGCTTTCTGTGTAAGGAACGTGCTCTCTGAAAAATTGAATTCAAAGATTAAATTCCACAAATACCAATCAGTCATAATGGGCATATTAGAAACACTTACTTTCCCGCCAAAGTCCGTCGTTTCTGACTGAAGAAACAGTGTCGTCTACGGATTTCAAGAAGAGGTGTTGTCACGTGACTCAGTAGGGTTGCGATCCCCCAGAACCTGTGTACAACGGCCAAGAAGACGAGAACCAAGTCCACGCATGTCCAGAACGCGGTCGAGGTGTCAAACACGATGATAAAGGCGATGTAAATGATATATGCAACGACAAGAGCGATGAAAATGGCGTCATTGAACCAGCGTTGTGTCGCTGATCTACACGAGTCCAAAGTGTCGGAGCAGTAGTCCAACAGTTGTCCGAACGTGTCCGTTATTAACGTAGGTTCACGTTCAGAAGATCTTTTTTTCTCTGGTAAAACGTCAACGTCCACCACAACGCTTGCTTTTCCATTGGTTAAAAGTTGTGACACTAGTGGTTCCTCGGAGCCATCACTTATTGTGTCCCTTGACACGGTGCGCGAGATTGAGTTTTTGTGGGTATCCATTTTGGCGCGAGGTTTTACGTCACTGCTTGAGACTCAACACATTGTAGGTGCAGACTCCTCTTTATTACCATATCAAACCAATAAATACGTTACTGCTATAAACACAGATCCAATCTTTATCGGAAGGTTAAACGCTTTGGATTGGTCTCAAGTGTTGTCCTGATTACGAAATGCAAATATTAAATTATAGGTGCGGAACCCCTTGTAGAAATGGTTCCGTGAGAGAGATAGAACCGGCCGTCGTTGATACCCTACATCTGTGACATTTCATGAATGATAACACTATTTTGAAATTCCTTCTGGACCAAGCATTTGACCCCAGTCTGTGTTATCTGTGTATATTATGTTACTACTGATCAAACCACTACAGCAGGTTATATCGAGTGTTTCTATCACTGGTAGCGGTACGTCCAGGTTCTGGCCATATCACACCATGTCTTCAAGATGCAGGTATAAGTAAAGACCTGTTCGTGTGTATCGATCCACGTCTACACGTCTGGTAATGTCCGTCATACCTGTAACATTGTAACATCGTCAGCTTACTATACATCACAAACACTCATATATTTAGTTTACATAGTATTTATTCAATACCAGTACATTATATTAATGGCTGTTTATGGCTTGCATAAAACATTTCGATATATTTGAATTTTAAAATTTTGCTTTCGAACATGTACGTTTGATTTTAAAAATAAAAGTATGCCTTAGCTACGAATGGAATGTTTCACGAGTGTTGTTCGTGTTCGTAGTTTGTATTCAATAACACACGAGAAATAATTGAGGAGCCATTATATTTTCTATATCTGTATACATTTTAAGCCAAGGTTTGTGTTTAAAGAATATCTTCTAAGACGCCCGCCGAACTAAATATTTTATATGAAAAGATCGGGTATTATCTAGCCGCTCGTGAAAATAATACGTCTGTTTGCTAGTAAGAGATATTTGTTCGTAATGATATAATGAGAAGGCATTGTTTTGAGTACTAAAATGGTAACAAACCGATCTCTATTTGACCCTTGGCCTTGACTCCAGTTACCGAAATACAGGTTTCTAGATCAAATCTCACCTAAAGATCCATTTTTGGTATGAAAGTACAAAGTACAAGGCGCTGTGTTGACTACCAAAACGTACATGTGCTAGGGTGACCTCTATCTGACCTTTGGCCTTGATCTCAAATACTGAAATATAGATTTCCGGAGAATACCTTGGTTACTTTTTCATGTTTCGACTCAAGTCTTGGTATGTAGGTACAATTTAAGGAGATGCTGTGTCGAGTACCAACATAGGAACACCGCGACTTATACTCTTGACTTAAAGAACGAAATACGGGTTTCCAGATCGTATCTCGGCAATTGTTTTATATGTGGGATTCAGACCTCGTATACAAGAGAAGGTGTTGGTGATATGTGTTTGTCCAGCATGACAGCGCGTGTGTTCGATTGGCGGTTTTCTCGAAACCGGCCCGTTTTGTACAAATACATAGCAAAAATGTATCACCTGCAAGGTACTTATCCCAACCCCCCTTGGGATTCGACCCAGGGTCCCTTTAAAAACCCCTTCCAAACTACAAATCCTTGATTTGCACCTTAATTTTACTTTCGCTTCGCCTCAATTTTTGCGGACAAAAAAAGTGACCATTTGGAATGGTAAATATAAGAGTGTCGTCTTTTTAACTCGACAATTAGTTAAATGTATCACTTTTATCAAGCTGCTATCATCCCGATAAGGCGATAAGAGGTCCGGGGATGCATTCCCCATCTGTTGTTTTGATCTCTCAACCAGATAATCAGTTCCAATGTTCCCACTAACTTGAGACTATATATGGTAGCCATTTCCTATTTATAAATCGGATTATAAAATTGATTTAAAATATTCCATCTGGCCAGGTGAGTTCATGCATAAAGTACTAGGTCTTGTTTATCATGATTTCATAAAAACATGTAATACAGTTCTCTGTTAGAAATATATTTTAATATTTTATTGAATATCAAACAGCTGAGGGATAATTCAAATATGGAGCAAGCCTGTGCTTTTTTTAGTTTCATTTGCATGTGTTTCAAACAGACCAATTATAAAAATCTCTTTGCACACTCCACCGAACATTGGCGACTGTAACAGAACATGATGTATATCAACCCAACTCCGTCACGTGCTATCGCATTCTACCCGTGCTACGTCTTTACAGATGTCTGTACATGTATAACATTATATAGATGTTCCAAGTGTGATCTCATATGGTCGAATTTTAGAATAAAATGTCTCTTTACATAACCTTGAATAATTACCTTTCTATAAAGTACAACCATAATTAGCAGATACTTACGTATTAACAGCTAGAAGACCATTAGTATGGGCTAACAAATAACTATTTCTACAACTGTATGGCGGTACAAGCACGCTGGACAGTAACACTTTGTAGTGCAGTTGTCTAGAAATCGTATTATCCGTTTACACACCCAACACGCCTAACAGGTGATGGCATAACATAAAATGTATATCTTGTCGCCAGATCCTTTCAATTGATATGATTGTATTGTATTGTAAATGAATTTAAGTAATGCATAATGTTAAACCAACACGTCTAATATGCCAATATAAAAAGTATATGTGTAGGTAGCCTGAATGTTTTAGTTGTAGTGATCGATTTGTGACAAAAGCTTACCAGCCACGTACATCGATACCACAAGGACATGATACTTTGTTACAGCTATATTTGGACCTAAACTAAGCTAGGCGTTTAGAGTAACTTTACACGTTAGCGGGGTTTAGAGAGGCATTGTTACCGAAAATCGATCTAAACACCCCAAACGTGTAACAATACTCTACCAATGCCGGTTTGTACTAGTACTAAGCTAATCAGCTACAGTAGTACTAATTTAAGCTAACTCATTAGCCACTTACAGGAAGTGCCATTACCTGTTTGCAATTGAAATAAGCTAACAAGCCACGAATAAATAGCCACTTTGTAGGTTTATACAGCGACACTATCACCGGTTTTAATGTGTAGTCGTGAAACTAAGGTAATCACTTGAATTTGTAGGTTTGTAACGTCTACTACACATATACAGCGAGACTACTATCAGATGTATAATTAAGCTAACAAGACACATACAATATACCATCACCGGTTCGTATACTTGTGTAATGTACTTGGGTATTTTATTACAGCATTCACAGCGTACACGATGTACACGCTTACATTACCTCCAGGTAATCTTTGTCTACGAGAAAGTGCAATGCCTCATTCTTAATCTACATTTCTACATATCAAACTTTCACTTAATTTTCATGGAGTTTGTTTAATATGTTACTATAAATGAGCATTAAAATTATTGAATTGAATTGAATGGTCGATTTTATACCATTACCCCAGCAGAAACGTTCGAAATCAAACAATCTTACCATGTCACTAAGGTATGTCAGCCTATTATCGATATCATACTCATTCCCCATTGATATATCACGTGCTTGCCTGTACATGTACATCCGTAAGAAATCACATTGTCCAGTTTCCGACGATATCGACTGTTATACACACATACTAACACACGATATAGGACATATTATATACATACATACAAACGATTGCTGTCTCTCTGGCCTTCTCTCCGCTCATGGCACGAGTTATGTAACAGTGACGTCAATTATCAGGAACATATCATACAGGAAATAATGTCCAGTCAATTTTCAGAACGTCGCACATGTCTTATAACACCCGGTGATTATGACTACACTGTGCACACACCACACACACCACACACACGTGACTGAAAGTTCCGGTAGGTTATATTTAGCCCGTTGTTTACATTAGATACTGCGACATGGGTTAGTGGTTGGACATGATCACAGAACAACAATGGACGATCAGGCATATATACCGCACGCTCTAGTGTTCAATACACCCAGTCTCGTATGCACCATGCACTGTTATACATATTTTATCAATGGTAAAATACACAGCCTGTCGTTAAAATGGCAATACAACAAGTACAGAGGCGCCTCGGCGAGCCTAGCTCCTGCATGGTAGCACAAAAATGATAACACGTGCACCTGATTGCTGTTGAACAGTTGACCGTACAACATGGCTGCTGTTGACCCATTGACCATGCTGTTGACCTATAATCTCCATTAGGCATAACAGCTGCTCATGGTAGAACTCCAAATCTCAGTCAGCTTAACACAATTTTTTAAACTAATATTAGTAATGTTTGGTTTTAATATAGTAATTAGCTTATTTCAGATGAACATTTAAGATGTTACTGTTTAGCTGATTTCAGATGAACATAAGTAACACATCTCCTATAGCTGTGTGTTTCGCTATTTCAGATAAACATTTTAAAGGTAACAAATTAAGTTGTGTTTTTGTTTATTTCAGCGCTAAGCATTGTTATTGCTACATGTATTTTATTTCCTAATCATAGTTGTGAATTGACAGGCTTTCTCTGACGTTGAACTATCTTGCTTTAAGGCTATCCCGAGGGCTTGTCACCGTGAGCCTCCGAGTGTCAAGTGACCACGTGTACCTATGTTTCCCGAGAGCTGTTATTGACTTTATCGACTTCGTCACATGAAACAACTAGATCTTAACTAAGCGATTCCTCCTTTACATCAATCTCGGAAGGGATGGGCTTGTATCTATTTGTAGCACTACGTTTAACGTTTTTAATCGCGATCATGCCTTCCTAAACGAAGCTCAGACCAAATCACACTCGCTTGTTCTCTTCTCCCTTTTAGGGTAAAAAAGCAGGAAGAAAAGATTGTTGTTAGAAGGATTATACTCGATCTCTGACTATTTAGGTGTATTTCATTTGTGGTTATCTCAAGGTTATCATTACCAGGGTGGATAAAACTCTCGAAAGATATCAGATGTGTCACAAGGAACATTTTTATAAAAGTGCAGACAATTAACTTCTTGAACTATATTTTGTGCGTCACTTCAATATTTCAACTTATCAATCTGTGATTTATATTCTTTCTGAATTAAGATTAATTCACATACATTTTTGTGACAATTTTTTTAATTGGACACTGAAGCGACCAATGTTAGCTTGTGTTTATTTATTACATTTACCGGGAATATGTATGAACCCTTGATTACGCATGTTTGAATGGCAATTCTTCAAAGTAACTATATTAACAGTACGTGTCAATGAGTCTTAATTTCCATTACTAAACTGCACGTATCATCCTAACCCTGCAGGCGGGGGATCTGGAAAAGAATACACCTGCTGTTCCCCACTGCATGTATCGGAGGAGGCGACTAATTTGGGAAACCTTGTAGAATTGTGAATATGCTTTGGTGTCCTCTATTTGGGGACACAAAAGCGACCAAAATAAATCTGCTGCACCCATTGCAATATTTGGGATCTGTATCTTTCTTTCTACTTCTAACTTCCTTTTATTTCCTTTTGGCTTCAATGTGGGCGTTCGCCCAGGTGAGGAAGGCAATTGGTTCTGTCCCCATGCCGGGACAAACAAAGTTTTTAAAATGGTAGTTGTTAGTCCCTGTTTAACGTTCAGCATTTAGGGAAATGACAACAACTGGTTCAGCGTTGTCAGTATAATGTGACCGGTTGGAATGCTGTGCTGGGAGGCTTCGGCATGTCATTTCAGTGAGATAGCACTATAACGTCGGCATTAGATCCGCTCTATCACAAAGAGGCAAGCACACCAACATACCATGTCTCCTGCATACACACACACAAACGCGTATACTACACACATGGAGACATGTACTTAAATGACCTTAGCTGTTAATAGGACGTTTAACAAAATTAAACCAAACCAAACCAATCCCAATTGATTACTTTTACTAGCCAACACTCGAGACACAGGAACGTGCATGCGCTGAAATCTGTCAATCAGCTTGCTATTTACCTGTGCCTTTGTTACCTGTGTGTTAAACTAATGTAATGAATATGTAAGACAGTTAGGATTCGGGTACGGAACGATACGGACGTGATTTCGGAACCCTCCAGATCTGTCCAATGTCCTAAATTAGAAAGTGCAATAAATCATATCTCGGAGCTTATATCATCTTCAAGTTCTCTCTATCCTCCGTAAAAACCCGATGATAGATGTATCTTTTTAAAGAGTATGATTTTTATTAGTTCCAGACAATTTTAGACGTGAAACGTCTCAAAATGGTATGTTTCGCTGTAGAAAACGTCGCTGTAAGCTTCTTAGCTTTTGTCGATGTTTTAATAGTATTTCATTATTGGATTTTTTTTTATGTCCGGTAACACATTGATAATCAGCTTTTAAACATCTATATTTACGGGCGTAAAACGTCAGTTTCCATTGTCGTGAAAATGGATGTCCATGTAAAAAGAATACGTGTTTTAAAGGTCTCTGATACCACAATGAATGTCCTCGAGTGCTATTGTAGAATCTAGCCGGATTGGTTTTGTTGTGGTTGTGAAGTGGAGTTTTGAAGCCTTTTCGCGCCAAGATGAGTGATTCTGGGAGATTTCTTCTACGAGATACAAGAAGCTTTAAAGTCACATACATTATCAGCTTTAGAGAGCTTTTATTGCGACAAACACAAGATTCTATTTAGCGATTATTCTGTTACTGAAGACTTTCTGTATTCCGACGAAGGCAAACCAACTTTTCTTGATTTTTCACTAAATGACAGGTTTGATATGCCCCTGATTCTTTCTATGGCTCTTTTTAGTACATTTTCAATTGAAATCCTATGAAAATTAGTGAACTTATGGTGGTTGCATATTCCAAATATAGTCGAACAAGTGATATACAATGTAGCGGTGTAAACATTTCGGTTATCTTCTCCGATTTTCCCGGTTATCTCCCCTGATTTCCCCGGTTACCTCCCCTGATTTTCCCGGTTATCTCCCCTGATTTTCTCGGTTATCTCCCCTGATTTTGCCTTATCCCAATTTCTTACATTTGTCAGTAGCTAGCTTCGTTAGGCATTCCTCTGTCCATTTACATATCTTATTGATGTCATTCTGTACATTGTTACAAACTTCATTGTTGAGAATTTAATTTTTTGATTTTGTGTCGTAAGCAAAATGATGGTATAATTTATGACATCTCGATATCATTGACGAAAGTAGAAGGGTATTGGCCCTATAACGCTACCTTGCGGTATTTCACTATTTAAAACAATGGTTTAAAGATAATTTTCCGATTATGACGACTTCTTGCTTCATGTTACTTGGTGACATATCCATACTAATCTTTTCCTTGTATACCGTAACATTGTAGTTTATACAACAGTAGACTTATCAAAACCTTTTATACCGTAACATTGTAGTTTATACAACAGTAGATTTATCAAAACCTTTTATACCGTAACATTGTAGTTTATACAACAGTAGACATATCAAAACCTTTTATACCGTAACATTGTAGTTTATACAACAGTAGACATCAAAACCTTGTATACCGTAACATTGTAGTTTATACAACAGTAGACATCAAAACCTTGTATACCGTAACATTGTAGTTTATACAACAGTAGACATCAAAACCTTGTATACCGTAACATTGTAGTTTATACAACAGTAGACATCAAAACCTTGTATACCGTAACATTGTAGTTTATACAACAGTAGACATCAAAACCTTGTATACCGTAACATTGTAGTTTATACAACAGTAGACATCAAAACCTTGTATACCGTAACATTGTAGTTTATACAACAGTAGACATCAAAACCTTGTATACCGTAACATTGTAGTTTATACAACAGTAGACATCAAAACCTTGTATACCGTAACATTGTAGTTTATACAACAGTAGACATCAAAACCTTGTATACCGTAACATTGTAGTTTATACAACAGTAGACATCAAAACCTTGTATACCGTAACATTGTAGTTTATACAACAGTAGACATCAAAACCTTGTATACCGTAACATTGTAGTTTATACAACAGTAGACATCAAAACCTTGTATACCGTAACATTGTAGTTTATACAACAGTAGACTTATCAAAACCTTGTATACCGTAACATTGTAGTTTATACAACAGTAGTTATCAAAACCTTGTATACCGTAACATTGTAGTTTATACAACAGTAGACATCAAAACCTTGTATACCGTAACATTGTAGTTTATACAACAGTAGACATCAAAACCTTGTATACCGTAACATTGTAGTTTATACAACAGTAGACATCAAAACCTTGTATACCGTAACATTGTAGTTTATACAACAGTAGACATCAAAACCTTGTATACCGTAACATTGTAGTTTATACAACAGTAGACATCAAAACCTTGTATACCGTAACATTGTAGTTTATACAACAGTAGACATCAAAACCTTGTATACCGTAACATTGTAGTTTATACAACAGTAGACATCAAAACCTTGTATACCGTAACATTGTAGTTTATACAACAGTAGACATCAAAACCTTGTATACCGTAACATTGTAGTTTATACAACAGTAGACATCAAAACCTTGTATACCGTAACATTGTAGTTTATACAACAGTAGACATCAAAACCTTGTATACCGTAACATTGTAGTTTATACAACAGTAGACATCAAAACCTTGTATACCGTAACATTGTAGTTTATACAACAGTAGACATCAAAACCTTGTATACCGTAACATTGTAGTTTATACAACAGTAGACATCAAAACCTTTTATACCGTAACATTGTAGTTTATACAACAGTAGACTTATCAAAACCTTTAACATTGTGCAGATTTAAGTAATTATTTGATCTGTTAAAAGTTCCTGTAGAGCTTTTTGAGGGTTGTATGGGATGGACACATACAAGACTGCTCGAACACGCTGTTTCCTCGTCGGTTTCCGCCAACTGACCTTTAAGGTTAAATAACTTACCCGTGAAATTCACTGTTTTAGTTTCAGACAGAACATATTTCCAGAAAACTGTTGGTTTACTTTTGATTTTGACTGCTTGACCCCCCTTTAACCGATAACGCGAGTTCCTGTTCCTATTCACCATTCATTCCAAGCCAAGATATAGTTGCAGGATTTTGACCAGTTTTACAATGAAGTTATCTATTATGGAGCCATTCTTTTGGGTACAGCAGCGTCCCTTTAAGTCATCATACGTATAATTACTTAAACATAATTAGTTTGATACTTAAATATTTTATTTCGGTAGATACATATCAAGTAATCTCGTCGTTCTCATTCACGAGAAAAAGTATTCATACTTTATATCAATTTGTTATACTACAACAGATATAATTCATTTGTACGTGTATTAATACTTAGATTAGATAGCTCATTTTCTTAGCGTTCTATCATCGCTTGAGCTTGGTCGTTTTTTTGCACTTTTTTATGATACTTTCATTGAATTTCAATACAAAGTTGAATAGCGGACACATTTTGTTCCTTATTGCTCCTTTCTTTAAAAGATATTTTCCAAATAGATTTTGTCCCCCAGTGATGTTTCGGATCATAAAACATTGGTGCCAAATTGTTTTTACCGGACTACATAGCCTTGCACTTCCCATTATCAAGGGTACTTGTCAGGCGTTGACCTGTCCATTGGACTATCCTACTCGACCATCACAGTCCTGTGCCCTTATAATCTGTATATCTTGCTGTTATCTTCAAATCATATCAAAACATTTCGACAACATCCGGTACGGGTTGATCATGTATACAGATCTGATACGGAAATGGTCCTACCACGCTCCTTTGGGGTTATCGCTCTTAATCCTTTCCCAGACACCGAAGACCCTACACATAACCTGCTGATCCTTGTCATATACATAAAGATGATATGCATCCCAGAATGTCACCCTGAACTTCTATAAGACATTGGCGCGGAAAAGTGTCCAACGCTTTTGAAAAGTCGAAATAAATACAAGGATATAACCGCACTAAAATATCCCTATGTCTCAAACCTTTCCACTAGTATTTTTTGTGTATTCCCTTTCTTATGAGCAGGGTAAAGTGGGCAGATTTCCAAATATCGAGCCACAGTTGATGAAGACTTGCTTAAAAGGTTCCTAAGGACTTCTGTCAGTTCGTCTCAATTTCTCAAGTATAATAGATTGACTTTGGTGGACTTGCAATATGGACTCACACAAGACAAAAATAAAGTCTATTCTACACACGAAGTATTGTTTTCGCTAAATAAGGTAATACACTTATATCTGGTAATACACTCGAAAAACATCTGGGGGTTTTATCGTCTTCTGATAGCCTGGTGAACACAATATTCTTTACTTTCTGAAGTCTTGACTCTTGTTCCTGACCGCACGTAATTCCAGAATTAATTCGGATGCAATTGAATGTTTCTGGTGACGTTTTGGTCCGCCCTGACCGGTCTACATGCTCTAGTAGCCGTATTTCTCTGCTTGGAGTTGATAGTTATTACTAGGTTTATATATTCGGTCACATAACAAGACATACCTCTGAGCATTTACAGATACTACAGTCTCTCCGGTCATCCATGTTTTGTCTTTGCCCTGACGGAAGGTATAGATTTGGGAATACGTTTTTCCGTAAATTATAATACAAAAGTTGAAAACGTGTTCCATAAATTCATTGGGTTGCTGAAATTTATTTCATTTTTTTTTCTCATAGTCCCATTTGTAGAAATTTTGATGAGGTATCACTAAGACGTAGTTCAATAAAGCACACGACTTTATAGTCGCCCGTAACTTTAGGCGGAAGGTGTTCCAGATCGACAACCATGTTATGTTCGTTAACGAATATCAAATCCAACCGCGATGACTGAAGTTGATTCATCCCTTGTCCAGTATTGCATAGCACGTGCCAACAATGAAGAATGTATTTTATCTTTTCCACAACCAGAGTAGAGCTATGAACAATACCGTCTGCAAAATTAAATATCCCTACCCTAACTACCATAACATAAACTCGAACTTTACAGCTTGTAGTTACTTATCATTAGTCTTGTTCGGAGATGATAATAATGTTGTATAAACTCGCAGTGAGGTAAAAACGAAAAGTTGAACACTACACGTATATACATTTGCGATGAATATATCAGACCCGTTGCAATTGCATTAAATAAGGTATCAATTTATTCCACCGGGTAAATCTAGTTTCGCAAGTCACATGCTCAGTGCTACTGTTCATTACAACCTTTAAACCAACGGATATGATGAGCGGAGATGCTGTCCCATGATGAGCGGAGATGCTGTCCCATGATGAGCGGAGATCCTGTCAACACTTAAGCCAGCTCGTGCCAGTTAGACTACTACTTCTGACGTCGTTTGTTACTTTGTACAGGAACATCCTAGTCCTGTCCTACATCACTGGTGATACAACCAGTCAAACAACTAACTTTGATTTGCTTAGGAAAGTTCTGCTGACGTGACAGGTATGTGCTGACGCGTTATCTTGTTGAAAAATGGTTCAAAGACGTTTTAAAACCGAGAGTACCACATACATTGTAGCTCAAATTCAGTCTCGATAACGCACTCAATTCGAATACCAATACACCACAGCAGGGTCGATATGGTTCACTACATAAAACCACCCAAGGTCATCACACTTCCACCACAGAAACGGTCCCTTTCAACGACACAGCAGTCTACAAATCCTTCACCCCGACGTCTCCAGATTCTACGCCTCTATTGACACGTGGTAAGCTTATTGTCCCATTGACGTAACACCAAATGGCGGCCTTCTCTCGATATTGTAACGAAGGTTAAAGACCTACATACTTATTCAGTCTTGGTTAATGTGAATAATATCTATATAAGGTTTTAATTTTTGATGTTCAATATGCTATATTCACGAAGCACTTGTATTATACTAATCGGCCCATTATCTAGAGACTGTATTGGGAAGCTATTTCGCAAAATTTTAACATTTTTTCTTTGATTTATTGATCGTTTTTATATGTATACCATGAAATAATCAACACAGCATTTAAAAATCTTCCGCGGAAGAAGAATGTCTGTTGTTTGGTTTGGATTTGCTTAGGCTTGGCGAGGACCGCTATGTTATAGCAAATAAAAGAAGAAAAAAGAAGGTAATGCAATGCTTTATTTTTAAAAAAATCTATTGATTAAACTTTGCTGCTTGTCTCCTTTCTTCAAAGGAACAGTTTTCGATGACAATATATGGAGGACGTTCTTACTATATCAGCCCCATCATTTTTTAAAGCAGATTGTTATTTTGGGCTAGTTTTAATTTGTCAAGTATGCCGTCTACGTACCAATGCCCGCGAAACGGTGACACTGTGGCCCTGATACCACGGTGGCACTGTGGCCCTTATACCACGGTGACACTGTGGCCCTGATACCACGGTGACACTGTGGCCCTGCTACCACAGTGACCCTATACAATGGATATGCCATAGCACAGATGTTATTCGCGCATTAAGTAACAAAGGGTTTATGCCTTATAAACCTGCCATTACCAGATAAAACATTAATGGCCTATATGATTAATGCAGACTGTATCATACCAGGTATATCAATACATATATATCTGTCAACATTGGTTTGGTATATATGGAACTACATCCTCAACACATCTTCTATTAACTGATGTCACATGGGCGGTCACGTGATCTGGTAGGTGACGTTGTCTACGGTACTAAAGTTGAGTGCCAAGGACGTTCCGTTAATAGCAGTATTGTTGGTGCTAGTTAGGAAGCTCGACTCCTGGTACAACATTCCTGTCGGTAGAAACAGATCAAGTATATATACGCTGTCCGAGTTTGCTGCGTCGCGTGGAGACTAACGAAACCACAACTTACTAATACTACCATTATTTTGCTTAATTATCCATATATAAATTGTTACCTTGTGTCATTTTGATCCATTACGATTTCATTGAAAAAACAATGAATTATCTACTTCGTTGATGTTTTTGTTCAGCGTACAACAACGAAATGACAAAAGTCAGTCACTTTAAACTATCATATGTAATAGAGGAAGTCTCGCGACGGGATCTTATCCACGAGGGTGGAATTATCTATCCACCAACCATTCCATTGGAAATTTCGTCTTTATAATGAAAATCCCACCTGCCTCTATACTCATTGTTATAATAAGGCTAACAACCCTATGCTACTGACCAGCCTATGCTACTGACCATGCTACTGACCAGCCTATGCTACTGACCATGCTACTGACCAGCCTATGCTACTGACCATGCTACTGACCAGCCTATGCTACTGACCAGAGATAACCCGAACCCTGATGGCTCGATTGAGTTGCTTGTTAAGGTGATCACAATTTCTTGCAGTTACACTTTCTGAGCCATGTAATATTTAAGGTGTCTGACGGTTTTGAGTTCAGAAAAGCCAGTTTCCTGTGTATTGGTATAAATCTGAAGGAATGTCTATCCTCACCTGCCACACACGCCGTCATAAAGCAGGCGATGTTTCCACCAATCATGGCCCTGAGCATCCCTTTGGCATAGTCCTGCCTTCTGCTGGGATCAGCCGCTGTTAGGGACCCGAGGTTGATACCCATAGCGGCAACACTGCCGAATCCACACAGGACGTACGTGGCTATTACTGCAGACCGGTTCTGTATAACAAAACGGTCAATGTCACGTGGGTTCGGCCCCGTCAGACACTTTCTTAAGTTACTCAAATGGAGACATCAAGAAAAAGATTGATTTACATAAAGTGTAATATAATTGAATAATATCCCCGTCATACACTTTCTTGAGTTGCTCAAAGAAAGACATTCAGAGAGAGATGAACTTTTACATAATATATAAATATGTTTTAATATGTTGCGTGGACGTATCATAAGATTGCAGAAAGAGAAAAAATCTGAGTTATTTGTAATTTTGACCATGTGTAAACACTAAAGTCATTTACTAAAACAGTAAGTATGTTAAACTGTTTTTTTAAATATTTTAAGCAGCAAGATTGCCATCGGAGTAGAGAACAGATTTTAAAAAATAAACATGTGATAGGACATCATTTCATTGACTTGATTGGCTGTCAACACAGTGACAATGCCATATTCCTGATAAAACATTAAATAAGGGACAATATATGGTAATCATGCTGTCAACAGAAGGCGTTATATTCATTAAGCTAATCGATGTTTCATTGTCTTTGTGACAGATGCCACTGTTTTATTGAGGTAGCATTGTCTTTGTAACAGATACAACTCTTTTATTGAGGACACATTGTCTTTGTGCCAGATGCCACTCTTTTAATGAGGTCACATTGTCTAGGTGACAGATGCCACTCTTTCATTGAGGTCACATTGCCTTTGTAACAGATGCCTCTCTTTGATTGAGGTCACATTGTCTAGGTGACAGATGCCACTCTTTTATTGAGGACACATTGTCTTTGTGCCAGATGCCACTCTTTCATTGAGGTCACATTGTCTTTGTCACAGATGCCACTGTTTTATTCAGGTCACATTGTCTTTGAGACAGATGACACTCTTTTATTGAGGTAACATTCCCTCTGTAACAGATGCCACTTTTTTATTGAGGTAACATTATCTTTGTAACAGATGCCCCTCTTTTATTGAGGTCCCATTGTCTTTGTAACAGAAGCCCCTGTTTTATTGAGGTCACGTTGTCTTTGTAACAGATGACACTCTTTTATTGAGGTAACATTCCCTCTGTAACAGATGCCACTATTTTATTGAGGTCACAGTGTCTTTGTAACAGATTCCACTCTTTTATTGAGGTCTCATTGTCTTTGTAACAGAAGCCCCTGTTTTATTGAGGTAACATTGTCGTTGTAACAGATGCCACCCTTTTATTGAGGTCACATCGTCTTTGTAACAGATACAACTCTTTTATTGAGGACACATTGTCTTTGTGCCAGATGCCACTCTTTCATTGAGGTCACATTGGCTTTGTAACAGATGCCTCTCTTTGATTGAGGTCACATTGTCTAGGTGACAGATGCCACTGTTTTATTGAGGTGACATTGTCTTTGTAAGAGATGCCACTCTTTTAATGAGGTCACATTGTCTAGGTGACAGATGCCACTCTTGTATTGAGGTCACATTTTCTTTGTAACAGATGCCATTCTTTTATTGAGGTCCCATTGTCTTTGTAACAGATTCCACTCTTTTATTGAGGTCACATTGTCTTTGTGACAGATGCCACTGTTTTATTGAGGTCACATTGTCTTTGTTACAGATGCCACTGTTTTATTGAGGTAACATTGTCTTTGTAACAGATGCCACTGTTTTATTGAGGTCACATTTTCTTTGTAACAGATGCCACTCTTTTTTTGAGGTCACATTGTCTTTGTAACATATGCCACTGTTTTATTGAGGTCCATTGTCTATGTGACAGATGTCAATCTTTTATTGAGGTCACATTGTCTATGTGACAGATGTCACTCTTTTATTGAGGTCCCATTGTCTTTGTGACAGATGCCACGTTTTATTGAGGTCACATTTTCTTTGTAACAGATGCCACTCTTTTATTGATGTCACATTGTCTTTGTGACAGATGCAACTCTTTTATTGAGGTCACACTGTCTTTGTAACAGATGTCACGTTTTATTGAGGTCACATTGTCTTTGTGACAGATGCCACTCTTTTATTGAGGTCACATTGTCTTTGTAACATATGCCACTGTTTTATTGAGGTACATTGTCTATGTGACAGATGTCACTCTTTTATTGAGGTCACATTGTCTTTGTAACAGATGCCACTCTTTTATTGAGGTCACATTGTCTAGGTGACAGATGCCACTCTTTTATTGAGGTCACAATGTCTATGTGACAGATGCCACTCTTTTATTGAGGTCACATTGTCTGTGTGACAGATGTCACTCTTTTATTGAGGTCACATTGTCTTTGTAACATTATAATTTTCCATTCGAAAAAATAAGGATATGAAAATACAGGTAACTGTGTAAATGACTTTGAAAAAAAGACTGCTTTGAAAAAAGGCCAGGTTTGAAAATAAGCTTGTGATTCCTTATTGAAATGAAAAGAGGTCTCGGCTTATTGTCGAGATATGACGTTTTGTATAAAATATTGATTTGTTTAGCGAATCTAGCATAAAGGGAAATAATTCAAAGTAATCTATGATCATGATCAGCAATAGTCTGTACTATCCAAACTGTCGTACATACATAAATCGAACTTCGTTATCTCGAACTCTTATAATTCGAAGACCCCGTTTAATTCGTATACCAGAATGTTTCCATGACTTTATAAGACGAAATATACATAGTACACGTAGTTCACACCGGTAATTTATAATTTTCAGTTTTTGCTTTCTGAAGTAATGGATGTCCTTATTCCTACAGAGAAAAAAATAAACAACTCGTAAAAATGTTTTGTCATCCTATTTGGGATCGAAAAACTATAACTGTAATTCTTATTTAAGTGTAACACTGAGTACGAACAATTAAACTTGTAAAAAAGATCAACTAAAGTACTTGACATTCTTTCCATTGACCACATATTGAACTATCGATTAAGTGAAAAATCGTTCTCAATATTGGCAATACTACTACCAGACGTTTATCTGAGTAACAATATTAGTCGGTGGCTAACTGATGGAAATATCCTGGTATCTGTATAAAATCTGAATACATGACACAACTTGATTTTATTTCAAGTTAAGATAAGACGATTTTAAACTACTTTGAAAGCAAAGACTAAAAGCTTGTTCATTTCGTTTTCAATGGAAATACATTTTTGCTGCAGATATCTTGTGAAATTTTGTATTTAAATGGCAACTAAAACTAATGTCTTCAGTTTGAGAATGGTCTCAGGAATATTTCTGGTTAACTTCTATTTTCAATGGAAAGGGTGATTCCACCATTTTCGATTTCTTACAATATAAGTGATATTCTGTTACAATACCTATATATGTATATATATATTCCTTACAGTACTTACATCCAACTCATCGTTCTTGATCATCTGTCCGAGGTCGGCGAAGGACAGAAATTCATTGATGAATATTTTCTTGCCGATGAGCTTGGCTACCTTGCCGCAGTCCTGCCATCTGACGCCCATCACCAAGGCCAATGGCATGAATATGTACGAACACAGGAACTGTAACAAAAATAATTTATCTGTTGTAGCCCAGCCTCTAAGTACGATTATATCAACGCCAATCCCATCACTGAGGCTATACAACATGTCAATGTGTAAACAGTAGGTCATTGAAAATAACCACTTGACTGAAGGATAATGTTACAAAACATGAATTAAAAGAGACTCGAGGACCACGTAAAATTGCTTTCTCAGTAAGATGTCATATCTTGGACACGCGCATAAGCGTTGCACTCCAACTGGTCGCACTACACCGACAACAGGATGACCACTGAAAAATAACCATATTCACGAGAATGAAGAAAAGACATCCTGACAGGTGTGAGTAAAGGACATAGAATCTTCAAGTAAACCTCAGAAATACTTGTTATGTAAACAAACACCAGGAGGTTTTCAGCAATATTCAAACGAAAAAATATTAAAATTTGTTTAAAGACATAATATTTTGCAAACATAGCAATGTATGTTAACAAACAGTAGCTAGTACTGGGATGATTATCCGAGGTTTTGGCTATATATGGCAGCCTTATTACAATGTGGTGAAAGCTCTGATGGAACTACGTGCTGTTTAGCATCATCACAATACATTCGGTAAGGATTGTCTTTTTTGAAAGGGTCCTCTGTCCATAGGCTTTGCATTTTCTTTCAGGGTTGTCTTTGGCAAGGGTTGTACTTTCGGTAAGGGTATTCCTTACTTTGAGGATTGTCTTCGGCAAGGGTTGTACTTTCGGTAAGGGTATTCCTTACTTTGAGGATTGTCTTCGGCAAGGGTTGTACTTTCTGTAAGGGTATTCCTT